ATAAATGAAGGCGCATGGGGGGGGGTTCCAGAACCCGTCCTCATCTCTGTAGGTTGGGTGTGTCTTAAAAGAAGCCGTCCGGTTTCTGTAACCTCCGTGGGAAGAAGGGGTGGAAAGGGAACTGTAATCTCACAGCACTCATCCACCTACACAGCAACCTTCTACAGCTTGGATTGATTATGATTTTCTTATGTTTCACAGGCATTGCTGTGTTTGAAATTTTTGACCAATGCATGTGACTATATCGTCCAAGCAAGCTTGTTGTAGTGCAGATGTATATTGTGCAATAAAAGACAACTGGAACTATGAGTTTATATTGTGAAAGAGTTGTCTAAACTCCTTTATATTCATTCCAGGTGGTAAAAACTGATTAAAAACTGGCATCATAACAGGCCAACCAAGTTGTGTTTGGTGTGTATTCCCAAAAATACTGTTACATGACTTTTTATTATGAATGCATAACATTTATTAGACTTTTTCATTCAATGATTGTAATTATTCCTACTTATTTTTTACACAAGCTTAGGCATTTTTCATGTTTTTGTATTTTGCATTTTTGTTTGTGTTTTCAGTCATCTAATCACAAAACTTTGTAGACTTCATTTTCACATGTTTTTAGTGCTGAGAAAACGCAGTGGAAAGGGTCCATCCATACACAATATAGCATCTTAGGTAGGCTACAGTGAATAAATCAAAGTGACTTACAAGTGATGAGGTATGCATAAATGATGTACAGGTATATTATTCTCGATTGTCCTCTGAAACACTCTCATAATAAGCAGTCATATGCATCAAAAATCTTAAAATAAAATGACCTCTTCAAAACGTTAGGAGCATAAATATAGATAAGCTTGTATTTGACAAACACACTTTAACAATATTATTTTCACATATTCATTTGATACTCTTTGGGATATGACATAAGCATATTGTTTGTATTCCAAAATAAGCAGAACACAAAACTGTCTCTGTCTGCTCATCCCAGTGTTTAGTTTGGCCAAAAGGACCAAATTTTGACAGAACCCCTTTTGTACTGTAAGCTGTGTCAGCATTGAGTGTTTGCAGAGCCTCTTTAAAAACTCATAAATATTTAGCCTTGATTGTGTGGATCTGATTCAACTTTTTCTTGAGAACTCTACAATGACATGATTACCATAAGTGATTAATTTATCTATGCCATATAAATAATCTCAAGGCTCTTGGGAACCATGTCCACTCTAAAAGATATATTTACAACCTGCTGGTCATGTTTTGCCTTGAATACAAACAGACAGACAGACAATGAACAGAGACACCATGACACACAGGGCAGCTATGGCCACCGTAAATCGTAAACAGATGCAGTGACTAGACTTGTCATATGTCCTGCTGAGAAAAACAAGACATACACGTGCATGTTCATTCATTCTCCAGTCAACGCAAGGCCTGCATTTGAACCTCAAGCAAACATTTCTTTGGGCCAGTGAAGAAAACATGTTGGGAAAACCAAATAAAGAGTCATTACATGAAATATTTTGGGTGTTGGGAGAAGTAAGCGTGTAAGTAAAATGGTATATAGCCTTCTGTTAAGCGTCTGTTAGTTACAGCTATGAAACTAGATTATCTGAAACATTATAAAAGTAGAAAGAATTGTCAAAGTATAACAAATAATAACTTGTAAAAAAAAAAAAAAAAATTAGATCTAGTAAATAATACTAAAAATATAGTTAATTGTATTTTTGTGTTTACTTCCTGTTTTAGGAGCTAGAGATTTCTATAAACTTTCAGGAACAGAAAGCAATGCTTCTCACTGCAACCTTTCTGAAGAAAAAAAAAACCTCTTTCCAGCATGCACTAGGGTATGCATAATTTGTTTTGAATTTAGGTAAATTGGTGCAGAGCCAGTGGTGGTTTTGTAGGCAAACATTAATGCCTTGAATTTAATGCGAGCAGCTACTGGTAGCCAGTGCAAATTGATTAACAGAGGTGTGACATGTGTTCTTTTCGGCTCATTAAAGATTAATCTTGCAGCGGCATTTTGGATTAATTGTAGAGGTTTGATAGAAGTGGCTGGAAGACCTGCCAAGATTTTTATTTTATTTTTTATTTCTATTTTTTTTTTGTTCTATTGTTCTATTGTTCTATTGACATTTTCCATTATCCATACGTACAAAGTTTGTTGCAAAAGGAAAATGAAAATTAAATTATATAATTTACATTTGCCATTTCCAACAGTAGTCTTAATATGTAAATTGCATACAAATTTTTAACGCTTTATAAGTTGTGAAATGGAAATGAAAATGAAAATGTATAACACAAATTGATTTGATATGTGTAACATGTCCAAGCAGAAATGGTAGCAAAATGATCATTTAAATGCTATTTGTCCTAAATGCATTTAGACTAACAGTTAGAACACTTAGGATTGCATTTTCATCGTGAAGCCGTGGGATATTTATAGCAAAATTCAGTGCGGCTTTGAAAATGCATTCCGAGCTGACCACGCCCACCCTCCGTCAATCATTGCTTCAAGACGGGGATTGTCGGATGCGTGTTACTTTTGCATCGTTAGAAACATGGCGGCTGGAGATCTGATAAGATCGTTGAATTCACTGGCAGATGAAGTGGAGCATATGATATGATATGAAGATCTAGTGTTTGTGTGAATATATTAACATGTTCTACAATTGTGGGTAATTTTCTATAGAAATATTGTTTTTGAGGCCTTTTCAACTGTTATAGCGCCACCTATGGTCCGATCTCCATGAAACTTTGCATACTAGTTACGAGTCTTTCGTAAAGTTTTGAGTTTTCGTTTAGGTTTTATAGGCGTTTCTGTATATTTGGCCACACACCCTTTTTTAAATGAGCCTGTTATTGCTAACCAAAGGACAAAATTCAAATTTTTTTTGATAATTATTGATCTGGAGGGTCCAGAGAATTTTACTGCAGTGGTTTGATCAAGATTGAGCGAAAAACCTAGGACTAGTTTGCAAAAGTTGGTGTTTCACATATTTGTGAAAATGTAATGAACGATTTGATTGACAGCAATGGTTCTTGAGACAAAGTTGCTCATTATATGGATATCTATCAAATGATATGCATATTTTGTGGATGTGTGAAACACCACGTGATTACAGAGCCATAAAACTCGTTAGCGCCAACTAGTGGCCGATTTCTTTCAAAATTCTTACAGACCTTTAGGGCCATGAGTCGAACATGCCCACTGAGTTTCGTTCCGATTGACCTCCGTTAACCTTGTCAAATAGATGCTTAAACTTTTTTGGCCAATGTTTTTTAAGATACGCGAATGTCCTCATAGAAACTTATGCCATTTAGGACAAAGACACTGCATACCAATTTTCAAGTCGTTCGGACCAACGGTTGCAAAGTTATAGTTGTTTTTATGTTTTTTCCATCTTATAGCGCCACCAAGTGGCAGAGCTGCGCAGTTTTTTTTTTGACCAAAGATTGAGCTCATACACATGTGTACCAAGTTTGGTGAAGATATCTCATTCCATTCAAGAGTTATAGCTACAATTATCTATTGGCTACGTTAGCATAAAAAGTTTTTTGCATACTGTTGTGCGCCAAAAACTTTTTTTAATAATTATTGATATTCAGTGTCCAGAGAATATTTCTGCTGTGGTTTGGTTCCGATTGAGCGAAAAACCTAGGACTAGATCGCAAAAGTAGGTTTCAGACATTACTCAATTTTGGGGAAAACCCGGACATCATAGAGAAAATCTGACGCAGTATAGATTTTTTTTTTCAGTATATACTTTTGTTCGTGTTGACCCAAGGATTGCAACGATGTAAAGTTTTTTAGTCTACGACAAACGGTGTATGAGCTAGGGCCAAAAATGTCTGAAAAATTTGTTTTTGCGCTGTAGCGCCCCCTTTTGTTCAATTGGGGCGAGTCTTTGGATCTGAGTAGCGGTCAAGACTACTACGATCTGACCAAGTTTCAGCTTTCGAGGCCTTAGGGTTTGGGCTGCACGATCAGTTTTAGGGAAGAAGAAGAATTTTTAAAAAATCCTTACAATTATAATAGGGTTTCAGCACTACATGCTTGAACCCCTAATAAAACATGGTCGCCCGTGATTTTGCCAAGTAAGCCATGTTCCTGGATCAACATCTTTTGTTGATCCTGGATCAACATTACTGTTCACAAATACAGACTTAACCCAATCCCCACCCATAAACCTAAATTTACCCATAATTTATTCCTAAAATCAGAGGGAAAGAAGCACCTAATCCTGATTGTAAGCCTAAAACTGACATTTCCTGAAAAGTTATCTCTCAATTCTGATTGGTTGATTGGAATGATGTTCCAGGATCAACAAGGATGTTGATCCAGGAATATGTTGTAGGCTACTTGGTCAAATCACACTCACCAATAAAACATATAGGAAAACTTGATAGATGTTCATACAACTCAAGTTTAGAGAAAGCAATACAAAGACGGCAAATTTAAAACTTGACATTTATGGTCTGTACATTTAAGAAGTAGGCCTAGATGAATTCAAGTTTTAGAAAAGCCATGCAGGAGATATTCAATTATTGTTATAAAGGCAGATAATACTGCAGGTACAATTGCAAGTGTATATTAAATTATCTACACCGTTAAAGTTGTCGAACATCATCGTGTGATTCAATATTTCACTTATGAGATCACCTAACTCGTTTTTCCAAACATACTGTTTTTGTCAGGGAATGGCAGCTTGCGGTACCGCATTCGGGAAACCGCAGTCATTCCACGGCTCCCACGGCTCTGAAATATTCGGCAAGTTATAACCCGTAGAAGAGGCTTGTCGCCTCCACAAATGATTAGTCTGATTAGTCTGACGCATTGTGTACATAAACACACCGCTTTGGTCAAACCTACAAGAAAAATACTATACAATTGTGATAAAAAGGGAGCAGCTACACAAATAACCGAGTAGAACTAAGAGGGTGGTGATGTGACGTCACTCCAAACTGGGATTGAGTTTCCCGACAAGAAACAAGAGAGATTATTGCAGTTTTGCTCTCGCGAGTCACAGCTGTGATCGAATTATTTTGTGGAAGTCACTTATAAGGCAACTCTAGGTAAGCAGCACGCTTTAATATGATTGTCTTATTGTGAAATGAAACTTTTAGATGTGATTAAATATAATTTTTCAAATGTATGAACATTTTATGATACAGTCATTTGAGCATCTTTCCATATCAACTCGGATGTCTGTTACAGAAGAGATCAAACCAAAAATTGTATATATATATATATATATATATATATAGGCCTATATATATTATTTAGCCTAACATAATTTGATTTTACTTAGGCTATATATTTACATAAAAACGACACTCCCTTTAGGCTCTGCTATAGCATACTGCACATGGAATGAATTGATGTAAAAACTGGAGAAAAAAATTGACATTTTGCACGAGTTCAGTTTAATGCACTGTAGACAGCTGCCACATGTTCACCATAAAACAGGAACAATTACGTATCTGAATAGATGGAGAATTTCCCATGTTAAATTCTACATGGCTGAGAGTAGAGAAAATGCTTTCAGATGATGTTCAGAGCTTTTCTATTGCAAAGCCTCACTTTACTACTCCAATTCTGGCCTCCAGTGGACAAAAGCAGAACAACATGATAGTTCGTTCCTTTTCTGTCTAGATCAAGTTTAGGTATATCTGTCTGCTTACAATTATTTACTAAATACCATATTTGTTCTGTCAACCTAGGTTTGAAGGTACAATGATGGATCCATACAATTTTACGAACAGTCCTCTCAATTACAGCTCATCCGAGTATGAAGATGACTATGATGATTATGATGAGGATACAGATCTCAGGAAATCTCTTAATATCATGTCACTGATAGTCTACAGTCTGGCTTTTGTACTTGGAGTGGTTGGGAATGGCATTGTCATTTGGGTTACTGGATTCAAAATGAAAAGGACAGTCAACACGGTCTGGTTTCTGAACCTTGCTGTAGCAGATTTCCTCTTCACTGCCTTCCTCCCTCTCAGCGTGGCTTATACAGCTATGGGTTTCCATTGGCCTTTTGGCCAGTTCATGTGCAAATTCAACAGCACTCTCAGTTTCCTCAACATGTTTGCCAGTGTGTACATCCTGGTTGTGATCAGCGTTGACCGCTGTGTGTCTGTGGTGCGTCCTATCTGGGCACAAAACCATCGGAATGTGAGCCGAGCTTCTGTGGTGAGCTTTGGAGTTTGGTTATTCGCCCTGGTGCTGAGCTCACCCTACTTTGTCTTCAAGGACACTGCCCCCGACCACAGCAACTCAAACATAATCAACTGCTTCAACAACTTTGCATTCTCCGATGACTATGAAACACCAGAGGTGGTGGAGCTCCGTATTCTACGGCATCGTGCCATGATCATTACCCGTTTCATCATAGGCTTTGTGGTGCCTTTTGTGATCATCGTCTCCTGCTATGCGGTCATCATCCATCAGTAAGCCATGTTCCTGGATCAACATCTTTTGTTGATCCTGGATCAACATTACTGTTCACAAATACAGACTTAACCCAATCCCCACCCATAAACCTAAATTTACCCATAATTTATTCCTAAAATCAGAGGGAAAGAAGCACCTAATCCTGATTGTAAGCCTAAAACTGACATTTCCTGAAAAGTTATCTCTCAATTCTGATTGGTTGATTGGAATGATGTTCCAGGATCAACAAGGATGTTGATCCAGGAATATGTTGTAGGCTACTTGGTCAAATCACACTCACCAATAAAACATATAGGAAAACTTGATAGATGTTCATACAACTCAAGTTTAGAGAAAGCAATACAAAGACGGCAAATTTAAAACTTGACATTTATGGTCTGTACATTTAAGAAGTAGGCCTAGATGAATTCAAGTTTTAGAAAAGCCATGCAGGAGATATTCAATTATTGTTATAAAGGCAGATAATACTGCAGGTACAATTGCAAGTGTATATTAAATTATCTACACCGTTAAAGTTGTCGAACATCATCGTGTGATTCAATATTTCACTTATGAGATCACCTAACTCGTTTTTCCAAACATACTGTTTTTGTCAGGGAATGGCAGCTTGCGGTACCGCATTCGGGAAACCGCAGTCATTCCACGGCTCTCAAATGTTGGAAATATTCGGCAAGTTATAACCCGTAGAAGAGGCTTGTCGCCTCCACAAATGATTAGTCTGACAGTATCAGTGCATTGTGTACATAAACACACCGCTTTGGTCAAACCTACAAGAAAAATACTATACAATTGTGATAAAAAGGGAGCAGCTACACAAATAACCGAGTAGAACTAAGAGGGTGGTGATGTGACGTCACTCCAAACTGGGATTGAGTTTCCCGACAAGAAACAAGAGAGATTATTGCAGTTTTGCTCTTTCGCGAGTCACAGCTGTGATCGAATTATTTTGTGGAAGTCACTTATAAGGCAACTCTAGGTAAGCAGCACGCTTTAATATGATTGTCTTATTGTGAAATGAAACTTTTAGATGTGATTAAATATAATTTTTCAAATGTATGAACATTTTATGATACAGTCATTTGAGCATCTTTCCATATCAACTCGGATGTCTGTTACAGAAGAGATCAAACCAAAAATTGTATATATATATATATATATATATATATAGGCCTATATATATTATTTAGCCTAACATAATTTGATTTTACTTAGGCTATATATTTACATAAAAACGACACTCCCTTTAGGCTCTGCTATAGCATACTGCACATGGAATGAATTGATGTAAAAACTGGAGAAAAAAATTGACATTTTGCACGAGTTCAGTTTAATGCACTGTAGACAGCTGCCACATGTTCACCATAAAACAGGAACAATTACGTATCTGAATAGATGGAGAATTTCCCATGTTAAATTCTACATGGCTGAGAGTAGAGAAAATGCTTTCAGATGATGTTCAGAGCTTTTCTATTGCAAAGCCTCACTTTACTACTCCAATTCTGGCCTCCAGTGGACAAAAGCAGAACAACATGATAGTTCGTTCCTTTTCTGTCTAGATCAAGTTTAGGTATATCTGTCTGCTTACAATTATTTACTAAATACCATATTTGTTCTGTCAACCTAGGTTTGAAGGTACAATGATGGATCCATACAATTTTACGAACAGTCCTCTCAATTACAGCTCATCCGAGTATGAAGATGACTATGATGATTATGATGAGGATACAGATCTCAGGAAATCTCTTAATATCATGTCACTGATAGTCTACAGTCTGGCTTTTGTACTTGGAGTGGTTGGGAATGGCATTGTCATTTGGGTTACTGGATTCAAAATGAAAAGGACAGTCAACACGGTCTGGTTTCTGAACCTTGCTGTAGCAGATTTCCTCTTCACTGCCTTCCTCCCTCTCAGCGTGGCTTATACAGCTATGGGTTTCCATTGGCCTTTTGGCCAGTTCATGTGCAAATTCAACAGCACTCTCAGTTTCCTCAACATGTTTGCCAGTGTGTACATCCTGGTTGTGATCAGCGTTGACCGCTGTGTGTCTGTGGTGCGTCCTATCTGGGCACAAAACCATCGGAATGTGAGCCGAGCTTCTGTGGTGAGCTTTGGAGTTTGGTTATTCGCCCTGGTGCTGAGTTCACCCTACTTTGTCTTCAAGGACACTGCACCAGACCACAGTAACCCAAACATCATCAACTGCTTCAACAACTTTGCATTCTCTGATGACTATGAAACACCAGAGGTGGTGGAGCTCCGTGTGCTACGGCATCGTGCCATGATCATTACCCGTTTCATCATAGGCTTTGTGGTGCCTTTTGTGATCATCGTCTCCTGCTATGCGGTCATCATCCATCGTCTCCAAAGAAACCGGTCCATGTCTGGCCGAACTGGACGTCCCTTCAAGATCATTGCTGCAGTGATCACTGCCTTCTTTCTGTGTTGGGCTCCTTACCATATTCTGGTGCTCATTGAGATGGTAAACCACATGGGAACAAAATACAGCTCCACCCTGCAATATGTCACCACTGTTGGAATTCCCATTGCGACCAGTTTGGCTTTCCTAAACAGCTGCCTGAACCCACTGTTGTATGTTTTCATGGGACAAGACTTTAAAGACAAGGTGCGCAAGTCAATCCTGAAGGTTTTGGAAACCGCTTTCACAGAGGAAGTTTCACGCACAAATACCTGCACAAATTCAATGCCTACCATTCGTAACAAAGAGAATGGGAGCAAGTCCTTCTCTGATGCGGAAGTATAACTGTATAGCATAAATGAAGCACTTTTTCTGAAGGAGGACTTTACAGAGTGTCTCAGGTGTATTTAATGCCATCCTAAATAAAAATGAGACACATTAACCTGAAGAACTGGAAAAGAAATTGAGATGATTTGAAGCTTTGCAATAAAACACTGCCTTGCTCTTATGGGGATATGCTTATATGATGCAAAATTATTATATACATTTGTGTGTGTGTGTACTCGTTTATGCTACATTGTGGGGACCAAATGTCCCCACAAGGATAGTAAAACCTGAAAATGTTGACATTGTGGGGACTGGCCTGTGGTCCCCACGAGGGAAAAAAATATTAAAAATAGTAAATGATGTTTATCTGAAAGTGTAACAATGCAAACTGGTTTTCTGTAAGGGTAGGGGATAGAAAATATTGTTTGGTTGGTATAAAAGTAATAGAAGTCTATGGAAAGTCCCCACAATACACAGAAACAAACGTGTGTGTGTGTGTGTGTGTGTGTGTGTGTGTGTGTGTAAGACAGAGAGTTTTAATTATATACCTATAAAGTATTTGAAAAATAAAACTTGGTATTGTAGGCCATATATGAGCAAATTAGAATGACGTTTTTACATGTATTGTGCATGTGATGCAAGTAGCTTTTTGCTGTTTCTTTACTGTATAACTACTGTCTGCACATAATTTCTATAAAGCATCTTTTATTTCATATAAAATAGTATTAAGTTTGTTGATGTATATCAAAGATTAAGCAAAAAGCTGAAGCAAAATAAACTTACTGATTAAGCTCCTTACTCTGGTCTCATTGTCTATGGAGGTCTTGATATAGATATAATCAAAAACTGAACATTAATTCAAGATAATATTTAGTTGTTTTTTTACATATTCTTTTTGAAATGTGAAAATTACATGAATCATTTTAGATATTTAATAATGTAATGCATGTAATGCATGCTGTTTCTATTCAACTAAATTATACTAAGTGTCTAAAGAGGTCACTTAAAAGAACCTATGGATCTCCTCTAAGACTATATTGTACTAAAATTGTAAAACCACAAAAAGCCCTATAATGCAATTTACAGACATTTAAATTTCATATGTATATATTTTTGGAGTGTTAAATCTACTTGTGTGATATAATAATGTAAAGTGCAGTCAAAACAAATGAAAAAAAATTAAATGCAGTGCTTTTTGTTCAAGAACAGGAGATACTGCTGTATATTTTATAATATTTAAATAGTTGGTAACATTTAAAAATGCAAGTTGGTTTTTAGCTTAAATGTTAACCCTCTCATAAGAGATTCATGAAAGATGATGGTCCATTCGGTTTCAGTTTTTGAAACGGGTAACAGATTCTGATTGTATTGCTATGGTCAGGAGCAATGAAAGAGAGCCTTGATTCTCAGTCACAGCCTTAAGACTGTAAGAACCAATGAGATTTGCACCATGTCTAGACTGTCACTCACAGTTGCAGTGTTAACACATAGTAAGAAGAAAGAACTTTTAATACAGAGTGCAATGAGAATGTTCACACTTAAGGCAATCTATTAACTGAACAAGGCAAAATGTCATATTACATTGTATACTTCGAAATTTGATTTTATGATATATACTATTTCATAGGATATTTTCTACTTGAGTGTGTGGTAGTGCACTGTACCATAATGTATTTATTGTCTCCACCTGTACCGCATTGATTTATATTTTTTGTATGGCCAAAACTAAATTATCCCTCAGGCATATTGTTGACAGGCAGTACATGATTTAAAAATACATTCATGTATTTTTATTACATGATTAAAATCTGAATCTTCATGGCAGCCTTTACTTTGCTGAACTACAGGCACAGAGATCTGGGCAGGGACATTTTGCTTTTAACACTGATGGCTATATAAGGAGGAGAGTGCTATGATTCCATAATGACTTGAATTACACCATTACACACCATCATTACTGCAATGGCCCTGCCAATTAAACAGACCCTTCAAAATCACCTTGAATGCTGCTTTGATCAAGTTAGGATATTATCTCATCGCTAAAAGCTATGTACTGTAACTATATGTCCAGTAGATGACAGTAATCCACCTACCAGTGATTTTTTTTTTCCAGTTTAGCTCTAGAAGAATGGGTGGAAACAGGTTTATGTCTTTCTAGGTTATTTCATATTGTTCTGCTGTATTAAAAATCAATTACATACAAATGTTTGTATGTAAAGCTGCGTAATTACAAAATAGTTTTCTTCCAGCTTTTCT